ACAAGAGTTCTCTGTGTTCTTAGCCACAGAGAACTCTCTTCTTTGCCTCTGTGTGAAGAGAAGTGTTTCCCACCCCACACCCCATGTTTTCCTCAGTAAGGTCATGTCTACTGCAGTCTTGCAAAGGTTTATTAGGGTTACCAGGAAGACCAATCTAATCCTTGAATCCATGAGATCATGCCAGGATGGGACCTGAGTTCTTCGACAAGTTCATCAAAATGTTTTGTTCTTGGGGCTGGAGCAATAGCACAGCGGGTAGGGCATTTGCCTTGCATGCAGCTGACCCAGGTTCGATGCCCAGCATCCCATATGGTCGCCTGAGCACCGCCAGGAGTGATTCCTGAATCACAGGAGTAACCCCTGTGATTCGCCGGTTGTGACCCAAAAAGCAAAAAAAAAAAATGTTTTGTTCTTAATGATGTCCATAAAGGGCAAAATTATCCTGGCACTGGTTTCCCTGAAGTGTTTTGGGTCTTTTCCAAGGCAGAGGCAGAACCTTGTGATTTTGCAAAAGATTCAGTGAAACTTCTTTCCCTCTCTGTAGTCGTTGCTAATTGATGAAAGATTGTAGAATCAAGCCTTGAGTTCTGGGTATTTTGGATTTTGGAGGGGTTTTTTTTTGCCTTTTTTGGGGGCGGGTCACATTGGTAATCCTTAGGGGTTACCCCTGGCTCTACACTCAGGAATTACTCCTGGCAGTGCTTGGGGCCCATATGGGATGCCGGGAATTGAACCCAGGTTGGTCGCATGAAAGGCAAATGCCTTACCCACTGTACTATCACTCCGGTTCCAAGCTTTGAGTTCTGATCCAGATCTGAGAATCAGTTGCTGCCAGCCATGGAATTGTCAACAGCCATACAGAACAGTAGACAACTCAAATGATCACACTCAACTCCCAGACTTAAATGTCACATCAGATAAATCTGTAACTTTACCTACTTGGAATAAAGTTTGTGATTTGGATTTGTATTACAACAATTAATTCATTTTATGAATTTTTTTCCTACCTACTTCACCTCCTCTTCTTCCCATCAATCAAGAAGAATAAATATTACCTATTAACCAGGCACTTTGTTCAACACTGAATGATCAATGGTGAGCAAACATCAATAAATTCCTTCCCCATAAACCTTCCTATGTGATGGGTGGAAAAGTATAATTCAACTAAACACGCAAATAAATGTTCACATATCAACGGGTACACTGGCTATGTTCAACATCAACAACAAAAGACAATTTAGAAAAAAAGCATATTGATGAACAGTAGGAAAAGAAGGAAAGGATGGAAAAGCATGCTGGAATTGGATCAAAAGTAAGGTATATGGCTAGATATGAGAAAAATGTGATCAAGATAAGTATGAAATTTCTAGCATAAGGGATCCACAAGCCTTATCTTGCATGAAGATAGCAAAAACAAAATAAGACAAATATCAGCTTAGACATATGAGAGATCAGTTAACTATAAAACAAAATGTCAGATTCCCAAATTTAAGTTTCATCTTTTCTCAAGTCTAGGCAGGTGACTTTAGACAAGCAACTTAGCTTTTCTGAACTTTTGAATCATTATCTGTAATTTGAAGTTACAGTCTGTTTCACAAACTTTTGAGAACTGAAAAAAAAAAAGAACATAGTGAAAGTTCCTTTAAAGAATGTCTGATACAAAAACCCTTCAATGCAACATTTCTGGATTCGGATACAAGTCAGAGTGGATTAATCACAAATGTAAGGGTGCAATTTCAGCTCAAGAAAAAGCAAAACTACTCTGTGACTCTAGAATCAACAATAGGCCAATAACAATGAACACAACTAGTATCCATCCTCCAATGAAATAACCAGGGCTTCTTAGAGAAAATGATTTGTGGACTACAAAAATATACAAGAATAGCATGGAAGTTTTGTGACACCAGCAATAAAGTGCAACATACACAAACACACACACACACACACAAAGACACATGTAAACACAATGGTGTGTGGGCCAGAGAGATAGTAGTTAGGACACTTGACTTGCACAAGGCCAAGTTTAGTTCCCAGCATCCCATATGACCCCTGGAACACCACCAGGAATGATTCCTGAGCACAGAGCCAGGAGTAACCCCTGAGTATTCCCAGCGAGGACCCCAAGTCTAAATAAATAAATAAACAAACACAGTGATATGAAGGAGAGTACTTGTGAAAGGCACACAGGAACCACAGCAAGAATTCCCAATGGCTAAAGTTGGACTAATCTGAGTATTCCAATAAATAAAACGTGAAAAACGTTAAAGTACAAAACAAATATCTGTGAGCCCACACTTAAGAAAAATGAATGTATCCGGAAGTCACATTTCCAAAGCAGAACAATTCTAAAATAATGTGTCAAGATAGTCTACCCTCAACAGGTTATTCTTCTTCTTCTTCATTAAATATGATGTGCACATAGTGATTTCCCTTTAAAAACTACAAAATAGAAAGGGGGAGGTGCTAACCTATAGAAAACTCCAATTTACATGACCTCTACTAGGTAATGGAGGTTAATAGCAGAGATAAATTCATAATAGTGACCCTTGATAAAATGTGCTGACAAGAACATCTTTCTCAAAAACCAAACCAAAAAACCCCCAAAAAAACCCAACAGCAATAACAACAAAACCCAAACAAAACAAAACAAAACAAAAAATCACTTATAAAGCAAACAGTCTAGTCAGGAAGAAAAAAAAAAAAACAGAACTACCCACTGAGAGGCACACTAATAGTTTACCAGTGTGCCTCAAACCTAGAGGCAATATAAAAGCAAAGGAAGTTGAAGAAAAGGTCACAGCAACAGAAGGCTAAAGAGCCAGGACTACTAAATAGGACCCTGCATGAGTAACGGGCCAGGAAAGAACAGAAGGCAAGGATAAAGGCAATCTGAATACAGTGCAGACTCCTTACTTGTGACAAATGTTATCATATTAAGGTAACATTAATAATGATGTACCTGGGAACTTGGCAACTCTCTTTCCAATATTCCTGCAAACCTGAATCGTTCTAAAACCTACACTTATTTCACAACACCAAGAAAAGAACACATGCTGTGTGAGACCTTCTGGCATTCCAGGAACAATATAGGAAAGATTTCACACAGACTCCAGATTAATCCCTACAGAAGCCAGGGCAAGCAGAACCAATAAGTGAGCCCGACCTAGCGTTTGAAGAGGCCACGGCCCATTCATCTGAGGTTTTTGTCTCCTGGCTCTCCTGTTAAGCTTCGGTTGTATTGTTACTATTTTCATCCTCCACCCCCCCAACCCCCAGAGGAATAACAGAAAAACCGCTTTCTTTGTTTTCACTATAGTAAAAACAAAGTAACAATGGAGGCCTCTTTATTTGAACTTTCATAACTTGCCGGGCAGTTTTGCTACCCAGTTCTGCACCTGCCCTTTTGGTTGCCTTCCAGGAGAGTTGGGTGCTTAACGTGATCTCAAAGGAGAGTTTCAAAAATTGCATAATGGTTTTCAGGTGAAAGCTTGCCTTCCCGGCGGCGTGAGTTTCTCTAATATAGGTCAGCACGTGGCCCTTCAATGAGACAACTTGCACCTTCCTCCCCCACCGAGGAACAAAACTCACATCACGTTGAGCTGAGCAATAATCACTTCAGTAATGAGAGCGTGAGAAAAAGTCATTGTATTGCGGTATTAGACACCCAACCGGCAGGTTATTTTAGGTATTATATTGCCATCATTTCAATCACGAGAACGCCTTTTTATTACCTTTTTTTTTTTTTTAGGAAAGAAAGCGGGGGAGGGAGGAGAAACAAAGGAAAACGAAAGAACAAGGTCTCTTAAGTATTTTTGTCATTTCCTCCATCTTCCAAAAAAGTTAACGTGAAGGAAACAATCTTAAAGGAAACGTTCCCAGGGCTGGAAACTGTGGGAGTCCAGAACCCGACGCAACTCTGTTCAAAACCAGCCGCCTGAACCGGCCAGCGTCGCCCCCAGCTCCGGTACCGCGCGCTCTCAGCATCTTCTAACAATCGCCCCGTCCGGCGCCCGCGGAGGACGCGGGGTCGGCGCACAACAGACTTTTCCAACTCCAGGCGGACAGTTCAGTTTTTCTAACTTCACTCGTGTTTCTCCTCGAATGTGGAGCAGCCTTCTCGAACTGAATATGGGCTTCCAGGTGCAGGGGATTTCGGGCTCAGAGACCACGAGATCCCCCTGCCGCCGCCCCCCGCCCCCTGCGCACAAGTGCGCTGCGTTTTACCATCACCATCGCGACTACTCTCATAGCCCCCCAAATGAAGATACAATAATAATAATTATAATTATAATACTTATAACATCAACTCTAATAACCTCGTTCCTTCTCGGGGTACTTGGGGGTGGGCCGGGCTCCCTCTAACCCCCCTTCCCCACTCCCCATGATGCCATTTGGGAACCAGCGTCTCTCCAAGGAGCGACTTTGGCATTCAGATCACGTCTCCGTGTCTCGGGGGAAAAAAAAACAACTTAACCCAACTTTGTAAGAAGATGGGAGCCCGGCCGGCCTGGTGTGTGTGTGTGTGTGTGTGTGTGTGTGTGTTGTGTGTGTTTGTGTGTGTTGTCGGGGGAGGGGATGGAGGGGTTCCCCGGTTTCCCTAAAGCAGAACCGATCAAATTAGCTCAGTCTAGGGGAGAGGGAGAGAGAGAGAGAGAGAAGAGAGAAGAGAAAGAACCATTCCAAGCCGTTTCCCTGTCCCGACTCCAACCAAGGCTGCCGGGCACCCAGACATCCTCCACTTTTCCGAAACTTCTGCCTGCCCTCCCCCCGCCCCCAACCTGCTCCCGGTGCCAGGGTTCCCCGCAGCCCGAACCCGCCAGACCTGCGCTCCCCTCGCCCCCCCAGCTCCCCAGCGCAGCAGGATCCTAGGTTTTTCTTTTTTCTTTTCTTTCTTTTCTTTTTTTTTTTTTTTTTTGGAGAAGGGGACCGGGAGAGGAGCAGGTCCCAGCCCGCGGGCCTGGGCAGGGGAGCGGAGGTGGGGAGGCACCCGAGCGACTCACAGCTCAGCGCGACCACCAGGTAGCGCAGCAGCAGCAGCAGCAGGCGCGGGCGGCTCCTCCTCTCCATGTTCCCCGGGCAGGGACTGGCCGTCGGCGGCGGCGGGAGCGGGCCCGGCCCGGCTGTCACTGTCCCCGCAGCCCGGCGCCCGCGCGCACACGCCGCCGGGGCCCAGCCAGGGTCTGGGTGGAGGCGGGAGGCGGCGGGGGGCGGGGAGGGGGGTGGTCTGCGCCGGGCTCTTTCGCAGGGGGGTGGAGAAGGAGGAGGGGTGCGAGGGGCGGGCCCCGGACGCTGGCCGGGCAGGCAGCTGCGTCCTAATGAAGGGGCAGCGGGAGGCGATGGGCGGAAGGGAAACCCGCGCCCCCGCCCCGCCCGCGCCCGCGCCGTCGGGACTGATCCGCTTTGTGTCTGGGCCGGCTCGGGGGCCCCTGCCAGCCGGCCCCGGAGCTAGTGCACCCCACCCCCTCGACAGCCATCGGGGGCAATCTCCTTCTCCTCGCTTGGCCTCCAGTAGCAAACTTCTTGGGGAGAGGGGGGTGATGTTCAGCACAGGGGTGGAGAGTTTGGGAAATTTTCTAGCCCACCCGGAGGATGCTGCGGGGATGGGGGCAGAGGGGAGGCGCGCTGGGACGATGGGGTGCGCGGGGCGACGGCTTGGACGGGAGAAAAGGAAGGGAAAAAACATAAACCAACCATAATAGCCACAAAAACAACAACGATCCAGACTCTTGCTGGAAAGCTTGGCTCCGGGTTGGGCAAAAGCGTTGGTCCCTTCTGAAGGTTCAGTCAGTTGCGGCTGGGAGTGCGTTTAAGGAGTGTGTGTGTTTGGGGGTGGGGGGGGGGGTGCTTTGCATCGCTTGTCCGCGTCGGCGATTTCATCGAGCGGGGTGAAATATTTATCATGTTTCTTTCCAGTTACATAACTGCCGCCTGTGGAGTTTTCCACATGTTAAAACTCTACAGCTGCCCTTTGTCAGGTTTATTTTTGGTCTCCTGTGTTTTTTAAAAAGGGAAACCCATTATGAATGCGCTGTTGTGTGCTTTAAAAATTGGACCCGCGCTTCAATATTGCACACACCCGAACGGCTGAATAGGTCCTTTTCCCCCATTGGTTCCTCGCAACCTCGATTCGCTGCTGCATCGGGGAGTTTGGCAAGTTTTGAGGGATGAATCTTTTCTCCGTAGGAGAAATTGTTTCGTATATATATTTTTTCTTTTCAGAAGTAGAATAATGTCTAAAGTTCTATGTAGAAGACAGTTGGTTTAGTGGTGTACCAAATGAGCTCAGTGGACAAAGGCCACCGGAGCTTAGCTATGCATAGCGGCTGGGAATGAGGCATCCCTGCTGTTCCCTTGGTGACCGTGTTGGAAGATTAGTCCTTATTACTCACCGCCAGGAGAGGTTCAGAGGACCCAGACAGGGGCCCAAGAAAAGAAAAGTCCAAATGCAACTATTTTAGCTCCTGCTCCACTTATGCAAGGAGAATGGATTCAATGGAATCCTTCAGCTTTAGAAAATCAGTTGGTATTCTCTTTTCTCGTTCTTAGTAATGCTGTCACTTTCCCTTCTCCTTAAAGACACACACACACACACACCAGGCATGCTTTTTTTTAAATGTGTTATTCAGTGACATCCTATGTGAATAATTGATTCACTCCCTTATCCGCTTGTCACCTAGTCAGCCCAGACTTTGTCAAGTGGTTACAGTGTGTCAGGTACAGGTAAACAGATGATGAATTAGATCTAGTCTTTGCTGTTTATGAACTCTCAGTCTTTAGGAGAGCAAACCCCATCTCGAAGAACCTCTGATAGCAAGTGTTATAGGAGGATAGAAATTAATCACAACTGGGCTGGAGTCATAGGATAACGGGTAGGATGTTTTTTGCCTTGCATGCAGCAGACTGGGGTTCGATCTTGGGCACACCAATATGGTCCCTTGCAGTTCCACCACTGTCCCACATCCACAGATGTCTAGCACCACAGAATCTCCTGGTCCCTAAAGAAGCAATATTTTTTAGATTATTGTATCTGGCACACTCCTAACTCCACCCCTCAGAAGAAACAGTATCTGATCTCTCAGCACTTTTGTATGTGACTGAATGTCATCATCCCAATATGTCAGGAGTGATTCCTGAATTCAATGCCAGGAGCAATCCCTGAGCACTGGGTGTGGCCCAAAACCAAACAGACAAAACCAGGAAATAATAGAAAAAACTAACCCAGAAAATAATCACAGCTATTGTTTTTGTTTTTGTTTTTGTTTGGCCACACCTGGCTATGTTCAGCGGATACTCCTGACTCTGCACTCAGGAATTACTCCTCCTGGAGGTGCTCAGGGGACCATATGGGATACTAAGGATCTGACTCTGGTTAGTTGCATGCAAGGCAAACATTCTACTTGGTGTACTTTTGCTCCTGCCCTTAATTTAATTTTTTTTATTGAGTTCTTTCTCACTCCTGGGGTCAGAAGAGTACAGTAACTGATCTCTCAGCACTTTTGTATGTGACTGAATGTCATCATTCCTGCTTTGTGGAGATAAAAATAGGTCTGGAGGTGCTCAAGAGTTTGTTCAAGATCAAGAATAAGGGGTGTTGGGGGGGACAAGAGCAATAGCTCAGCAGGTAGGGCATTTGCCTTGATGCGGCAGACCTGGGTTCGATTCTCAGCATACCATATTGCTCCCCAAGCACTGCCAGGAAAAATTCCTGAGTGCATGAGCCAGGAGTAATCCCTGTGCAGGTGTGATCCAAAAAGAAAAAAATGGGGGGGGGTATTTTGGGGGTAGATGCAAGATTCTCCTTATTGGGCTTTAAAAGGTAGGTACAGAAAAGAGGGAAATAAAGGAACTGAATTCCAGGGAGAACCAATAAGGAGGGGTGGAGTTAGGAGTGTGCCAGATATAAGAACCTAAAAAATATTGCTTCTTTAGGGAGCAGGAGATTCTGTGGTGCTAGACATCTGTGGATGTGGGAGAGTGGCAGAACTGCAAAGGGAGGGTTGGATTCTGTGGGCCCTTCAGTGCCATGACCTCTCGCCTTCCTCTGTAGGTCAAAGCTTTCTGAAAGAAGTAGGACAGGATGAAAAAAAATCAATATTTTAGAAGAGCACTGTCCAATATGGTAGTGTGAGTAGTGTGAAAGCTTTTTGCAACTTCACCCCTTTTCTTCCCCCACCTTCTTACTGAAAATTTAGAAGGACTCACTGGGGTTAGGAAAAGCTCCAACAGACTGGCCTGAGACCTGTGTCTTGGAGGGTGTGACAGCCCTTCCCTGGGAGAAGTCATCCCATGCATCCCGTTGACTGACTGGGCTCAAAAGGAAACCTTAAGAAACTTTTACACTCGTGAGGACTCCAAGCCCTTGGCATGATCTTCTTACTAAATTAGAAGCACTACACTGTAGCACTGTCCTCCCCTTGTTCATCGATTTGCTCGAGCGGGCACCAGTAAAGTCTCCATTGTGAGATTTGTTGTTACTGTTTTGGCATATCAAATGCGTCATGGGTAGCTTGCCAGGTTTTGCCATGTGGGTGCGATAGATACTCTCAGTAGCTTGCTGGGCTCTCTGAGAGGATCAGAGGGAAATTGAACCTGGGTCCCCAGGTTGGCCACGTGCAAGGCAAATGCCCTACCTGCTGTGCTATCACTCCAGCCCAACAATAAAAAATAAATAATAATAAAATAACATACAACAATCTTTTACATTTCTAGATGCAAATAATGGAGAAAAATTAAGAAAACAATCCTATTTATATCTACATCCAAAATAATTTAGGAATAAATAAAAGAGGCAAAGTACTTATGAAAATTAATGTAGTCTGAATTAATAAAGACTAGAATCTAAGTTATGAGTGACCAATATTGAGTAAAGCTTTTATTGCTTTTTGGAATTATGGATTAATTCTGAAGATTCTTTTTTTTTTTTAGCTCAGTCTCCATTTTGTCTAAAACTAACATATATATTATTATGATGCTAATCAAATTCCAATGACATTTTTTAAGTAAACTTTCCTTATAGAATAAAGACTAATAAGTGTTATATGAAACCACAAGACCTCATATAGTTATGACAAACCTAAGGAAGAAAAAATAATGAAGACATCATGTCACCTTGACTTCAACTTTTGCATAAGATGCTAAAGGGATAGTACAGTGAGTAGGGCACTTGCCCTGTATGAGGCCAACCCAGGTTCAATCCCTGGCACCACATATGGTCCCCAAGCACTGCCAGTTGTGTCCAAAAAGAGACTATAGAATAAAGTGACAGTATGTATGCTTGTACAGTATTAGAACATAAAAACATGAATCAGAAATTAGTGCACATTTATTGATATTTAATTTGCAAAAGTCTTATCAGAAATATAATTTGCTTAATATTATTGGAAAAACTGTATAGTCACATTCAAAAGAATGAAACTAGGCTGGAGCAACATCCCAGCAAGTAGGGCATTTGCCTTACATACAGGCCAACACAGGTTCAATCCCCAGCACTAAATTAGAAATTTTATTAAATTAAAGTTTTATTTTAGCTGTTTTAAATACTTTTTTCTTTTAAATTTTTTTGTCAAAACACTGTGATTTACAAAGCTGTTCATACTAGAATCATTTCAGGCCTATGATACTGCAACTCCAATCCCACCACGAGTGTTACCAAGGTCACTGCCACCCCCAGCCTGTGGCAGGCATATAACAAATTTATCTCATATTTCTTGCTCTGACAAAACTTAATTAAAAACTCAAAATTTCTTTTTAGCAATTTTATTCAATTTTCTACAAAATTTTGTATCTTGAAATGGAAAATTTAAATATTGACCCAAAGAAAACTCTTCATTGCTATTGGAGAGGCAAAATGGTCTAACCATTTTGGAAGAGAGTTTGGCAATTCTTTATAAAACTATACATACTAATGATCCCTTTTCACTTTCTATTATTATTGTTATTATTAGTGAAACACCATGATGAGGTACAGTTGTAGACTTACAAACTTTCTTGCTTCGGTTTCAGTTATACAATGATCAAATACCCATCCCTCCACCAGTGCCCATTCTCCATCACCAATGATCAAAGTAGCCTCCCACCCCCACACCCCATCCCCCACACCCCACGCCGCCTCTGTGGCAGGGCATTCCCTTTTGCTCA